GAGTTAAGGGCCTGTATTTGTGGCTGTATGCTCTCAGTAAGGGTCTGAATTTGAAGTTGCAGTCTCAGTAGATTTAGTAGAGCATCTGCCTCTCATAGAACCCAAACTGTAGCAAATAATGCTGATACACAACGCCAAAAAGACACCCAGGAGTATAGATTGTGAGGTAGGGGTGGCTTGTAGACCGCCCATGGATGTGTACAGAAGCAAACTCATTTGCCACAAACCGGGTTTCACCAGGTTATTTATGTTTATAAAACTGGTGGTAATATTCAAAGGAAGAAGAGTACTGAGCTTAAGGCCGGAAGAAAACTGAAAGAACTCAAGCTGGTGATGAAACCTCCCAAACTCATGGTGCTAAATATAACCGAGAGCTTAACACAAAGAGGAGAAAAAACTTCTCAAGACCTAAAATGTTAAAGTCCCGTGTCCTGTAGACCTAATGCGGTGACCAACGCAAGGTACTTGGGCCAGTCAAGCGCGGGTGTAACTGCCCCACGTTGGACGCCCGTCTGTGACAGGGCTCCGCAGTGTGAATCGGGCTGCCCGTCTGTGGGTCTTCACCGTGCGGGGCGCTCACGATTCAGTCGCGTTATGGACATACTCAGAAGGTTCAATAGTGGGTTTATTATAAGGAGGAAGGTAAAGGAATAACCCAGGGAAAGAGGGAGAGAAACGCAGGCTAACTAGGATGGCCACCGGTTTGCCGACCTGGACGCCACCGGCCGCTGGAAACCGATGGGGCGCCAGAACGATCCGCTGCGAACCACCAGGCCCAGAGGCCCCCAGGGCCCGCGTGTCCGGTTTTATCCCCCCCTGGCTGCTCCTTGGGGCTCCTCCTTGGTGCTGATGGGGTTTGGAGCTCCAGCATCTGGAGTGGGGGCGAGTCCATGAAACCTGTACCTGTTACAGTTCCCCCCTTTTGATTTGGCATACACTGTATCAATGACTTCTAAACAGTTGTGGATTGTATTGTCATTTTCAGATTCATCAACATTGCTTGGGAGCAGCGTAGTGGGGTTTAAAGAATTAGAAACTTGCAGTTTTACGTTAGGATTGTCTCACAAAGCTGTTAGACTGCCCAGCAGTCAACCAAAGTCCGCCCTTTTGTTCCAGCAGTGTTAAACCTGAGGCGGCACATACACCGTGATGGGTTGGCCCGATGTAAATTTCTCCGCCTCACAGAGGATGTCACAAGTTGCAGCAACGGCACGTAAACATGGAGGCCACCCCTTAGTGGTATGGTCCA